TTTGAGTCACTAAATTCAGGTCACTTAGGCACTTTGGAAATTTGAAATTTAGCGGACCAGAGTCAATATTTCTGAGCTGATTTCAGCTAGAGGGTTAGGAGAACTTCGGTACATCAGTAAAATGTACATCTCTATGCATTTGTAGAAAAGAAACTCGAAAGTAGAGAAGTGCATGCGATATGAACAAAATATGTGAAATATAATATCATTATATTAATATCAAAATACAATGCAAATATATAATATTTGAGACTAAATTACCTATTATACTTCTAGCTATATACTTCTAACTATATCCTCCGAAATATGAATTTACATTCTAGCCACCAAATGTGATCTACGTCAAAAAAAAAAAAAAAAAAAAAAAAAAAAGAATGCGCGAGAATAAATTCTTAACTTTGAGAAGATGTTTGTTCTTTAATGAACCTAATTCATTAGCAGAGCAAGGAATTTTAATTTTAGAAACTACGAAAGAAGAATTACGGGGACTGCGAAGCAGCTGACGCAGAGCTGCCGTCGTCAAGGAAAAATTGTCAATTACGTGCGAGAATCGACAGTGGATGCTAGAAACAGAAGTCAAGGCGCTCCGACATCGCGTTTCCGCGAGTAAAACGATTCATGAATCGAAACGAGCGGCCGGCTAGTTTAATTGACCGATTATTTCGCGCTGTTGACGTGTTCCACGCCCTAGCTCGACAGGAAACAAAAGTAATTCCCGTCCAGACGGTGATTTACTCCCGATCGCCTGCGTAGCTCTCCAACGTTCGAGTACGATTTTTTTCATCGAGCAAATCGTTTCGTGGAAATCGTCAAACGCCACCAATCTTGACGCAATTCATCCTGTTTTCTTTTGGACACATCGGTTAAGTATTCGCAAAGTTTCCATCTCTGTTTAAACTAGAACTCTCGTTTCTCATCGGTGCCAAGGCGAGAACGAACGACGATCGTTCTAATAGTCTAGATCAGGCGTGTCCAATCCCAAAATCATTATAACCAAAATTGGATCGAATTTTAACCGTAAATATTCGTGATTTCTCTTTAGGAGGATATTCACATTTGCAAACAGATTTTTTTTCTCACATGAAGCATACAACAAATAAAACAGGGAGAAAAATTTTAGACGAGCATCTTGAAAATATTCTTGATACTGGTGCCTAAGAAACAAGCTCAGTGTTCTCGTTAAAAAAATTTTCATATTTTTTTTTAATTAATACAAATATATTTTTCATACAATGTAAGGTCAGAAGATGTAACAAGTCATCCATGGTTTAGACGTTTAGCTGATGTTAAACAATCACGAATGATTGATCGATTCGTTCGAGTGATTCGTTGGTGCTACGAAATCGAGAAAATTGGGAAACATTGTCGTTGGAAAACTGCAGCATGTTGTTCATTCGTTTTCCAGATCACACGTATGAAAATCGATTTGAAAGATTTGTTATATAATATCAATCGTTGCAGGTATTTTTGATATAGGTAATTGTAACTATATTCTCGACTCCTTGATAAACGACAACGAATTTAATAACTGAGAGGACTGTTGCAATTGGACAGTTTTGAACCAAGTATTTGCTTGCTCTAATGTATTCGTCGAAGTTAGAACACATTTTCATTGTAACCATAGTTTCAGATCCTGGTTGCATCCAGCGACTGGGTTTCTTTCAACAACTCCCATGCCCAAAATCGTCTTTAACGTTACAACTATCATAGTGCTCGAGACGACCAATTCATAATCTTTGTTATTAGAAATTTCGTAGATACGGAACGGTGCATTTCTAGAAACGATTTTTTTCGTGAAACGTATAAATAAAAGTTTGTTAGCAAGCTGTCATGTCACCACGAAGCACGTTTAACATCTCTGATCGGAGATTTCATGCTTCAATTATTGGTAGTTGTAGCGTTAATCCCTGTAAAGCCAAACTGCTATGAAATCGGCGAGAGAGAAATCGGCAAGACCGCGGTCTCCTCCCGCGTTGGAAAGAGGCTTTCCCAGCCTAACAACTTCCGAGTTCCACGGTTCAATTACGCGGCACCAAGAAGCGGGAGAGAGAAACGGGAGAAGCGGGCCAGTGGCGAGCGCTTTAGCACGTAATTCCGATAATAACCGGGTACTCGCGTGACCGGCAACACTAATATCGAGCGTTATGGAGTACGCTGCGTGCTGCGAGTGTGCCGCCGGCGTACTCCTTCCTAATCATCAACACTGTAACCGGCGACTGTCGGCGCGGCTCGAAATCCATGGCCGGGCCCGATAGGCGAAAAAGAAACGAGAGAGTAACGATTTACGGAGGCGAGTTAGTTACGCCGTACCCCGTAAATCCGTTTGATAAGTAGCGTGTACCCTGGCTAATATTCCACCGGTGCGAGAACCTCGCGCGATGTTGCTTCGATGCCGGGGGAAATAATGGGACTGTGCGCGCGCGCACGCGCACGCCGACCGCGAATCGATGCCCCTTTCTATACGGTTCGCTACTGAAATTTCTTCAAGCGGTTTCCCCATTTTCTTCCGTTTATTCACTTTGTTGTTTCGGGAGAATCGTTACGTGTTGCTTTCGTAACGTAAGTTCGTTTGAAGGAATGAACAAAGCAGCCTCATGCGATACGATACACGTAAACGCGCGCGAGTTCTCCGTACAACGATAATCGGCGATACCAATCCGGATTACGCGTATACGCGTCTCGCTTTTTTCCTTTTTTTTTACAACAGACGATTAATCGCGCTCTTTTATTGCGAATAATCTGTACGAAGGGATCAATTACGAGCGACTCGGGCCGCGAGATATGGGACGATGGCGGTTTCGTCGTTTATTTTGTAATAAGCGGCTTCCGTCTCTCTGCCGTTCGGGGCCTGATTGCTCGTTCTCGTTTCGAATCGATTCTTTTCCGAACTACCCCCGAAATAAATAACACACCCCGGGTGAGTGGATGGCATGGTGGTAAGGCAAGTGAGATCGAGGGACGAAAGAATGGTCGTACTTACCATTCGGACTAGTTGGCCCTCCGTGAGGTGTGTAAAGATGCCCGTGAGGATTGTGGGGATGCGGGGGTGGGGGCAGCCACGCGAAGCCCGCAAGAGAATGTGGGAATCCCGCGGGATTCCAGCCGGGTGCACCGGGTGCACCGGCGAGGTAAGGCGGCCCCTGTGACGGCCTCTGAACACCCGGATGAATCGGCTGAGGCACTACCGGACTCGACTTCTCCTCCTTCTCCTGATTGTTGTCCAGCTCCCTCTCCAGCTCGCAGTCCGAGTCCATCACGTTCAAATCCTCCGACTGGCCCACGCTTCTGATCTCTTGATCCTCCAGGTCCAGGTGATCGCCGGTTCTGTCGCCTTCCAGCGAACGATTCGCCTCCGAGTCGCTTCTATCGTCCATCATCTCTCGTCTACTGATCGGCGACACCGATCGCGGATCGCTCGCGATCCTCTCGACCCTCTCGTCCTCTTCCTGGCCGCGTTCCCTCTGGATCATCGACTCGGCGATTCTGTTGGCCGTTGGCGAACCGCTCGACAATCGCCGATCGTCCCGATCCCTCTGCACATCCTGGTCTATTCTAATCGGCGACGACGACTTGTCGTGGCTGCTCGTCCTCGAGAAATCCTTCACGGTGAGGATCTCCTGCCGGCCAGCCGACGGATGATCCTGATCCACTCTGCTCGACGGGTGATGATGATGGTGATGATGATTCGCGAACGCCAGACCGTGCGGGCTCAGCCTGGCCAGCAGCTCGCGGCTTTGAAGTCTCTGCTGTTCGAGAAGCAGCTCGCGATATCTCGTCTCCATGTCCAGGTTCTTCTCGGTGTCCGTTCGGTCGTCGTTATCTCGACGAGCGGCGAACGCGCCGCCGGTGACGCCAGTCTTCTTCATATCGCTCAGCAGCGAGTCGACGCTGAAGCTGATCTTGCCGCTACGCGGCTTCAGGTTCGACGACGCGGACGTCGAAGTTGCCATGTCGACGTCCTCGCAGAGGCGATCGTTTCCGGTACCCTGGCCCGTCACCACGCCCTCGCTGCTACTCATGCCGATCCACTTTCTTCCTTTCTCCTCTCGTTTTTCCCCTCCACCGAATTCTCGAGTCTTCGAGAACGAGGATCGTGGAGCTGTCTCGTGGTTCGGTGGTTCCTCTCGAGATTCTCACGACGCTGCTTAATTTTCACGAATAATTCGAAACGGTTGCGGTTTCGTAAACGTCTCTGCAAGATCTCGGCGTCAGTCACTTGTATCGCGTATTCCAACGTTTGACTCGGTTATCTCGTCATCAACGAGCAAGATTGATCACTTAATCCTTGATTAAACCTTGGTTTCTTCCACTGTCACGTTTAGTATCGATCCATCGACGCTGTCATCGTTCTCTGCTTCTCTCGGTTTTCAATCGTCAGTGCGTTGCGTCCAACGTCATCGTCGTCGGATCGTCGTTTATCGCAACTCGCAAGCCTTCGATACTCGGCAGGATCATCGGGAACGTTCACGGGCTGGCATTCGATGAACGACTCCCAAGCCCGTTATTCTCGGAATCCGCCGCATCGCCGTGGACCGACCGAGCCGGCACCAGCGGATCGTCCCGTTAAAGTATCACACGCAGCACGTACCCTTACGAGACCGGCATGACGATTCGACCTTCTCCTCGGCCTAAGCGCCCAACATTATCGCTCGCAAACTCTCACGGTTTCTTCTCTCTCTGGTCTGTCTTTCGGTATCGATCTACAATCTACAATCTAGTCTGTGATTCTCCAAAGCCTCGGTGACGTTCAGTCGGTACGGCGAAGAACCAAAACACTTGTCAACTTCATCACTCCCCCGCTGTCAGAATACTCGCGCGAGGTATCAGTCACGAACGAACGTTCAGCCGCCAGCTTGTCTGCCCGTTTCGGACGCCGAAAGCTAGGATCCGTGGTCGCACTGTCACAACCCGGCGGCGGTGTGTCACAAGCGGTGGTGTCGGTTACGCGCGACGGGCGGGGGCGGGGGGGAGGGGGAGGATGGTCGCACAGACGTAATCTGCGTAATCTGTCGCGTGGTGGCCAGCGCTGGCGCGGAAACGACACTGATTACCAGCTCGGCTGCGGCTGCGGCCTCTGCGAGGCGTTCTCTCTCTCTTCCCGGTTGGCGGCCGGCGTCGCGGTGCTTGCCGCCGTGGCGCGCCGCCCCCGCGAAACCCGTGGAACCGGTACCGTGTCCTGTCCTCGGCCAATGCGAACCACTCCAGTCACACCACCGTCCTCACCCGGACCCCGACTCGGTAGGCGTGTTTCGACCGCGCGACTCCACCAATCCCGGGGACGCAGCCTCGGCGTCCGCACTTCGGGCACTTCTCTTCGCTCTTCGGCAACGGGGAAATCGGGTTTCTCTCCCCTCGCGGGTTTCCATCGGCTGGCAGATGGCGTTGCTTGGATCGAGAACGCGGTGGCGCCTTGGCTCGTCGAACGGCGTCGACGCGACCTCTGCGTGGGGATGAAAACGAGCGTGCACTGCGCGAAGGGTGGGAGAAGGAAGGGAGAGGAAGGGATCGGCTCGAAGGGGCTGAAGCGGAACGACGACGCGGGGTCCGGGATGATGAGGCGACTGCTCGGGGAACGTGACGACTCCTAATTGTCTAATTCCCGGGCGCGATGCGCGAATTGATTGGCAATCCCCGCGCTCTGTGCGACTGTGTCGGTTACTCTGTGCGTGGGCACGCGCGCGCGCGCGCGCGCGCTCACGTTTGTTTCACCGATTCCTTCTCGCTTCCCCCCCCCCCCATTCGCGAGATAATGACGCGGTTTCGATACTCCTCCGCGAGTAGAGTATCTCTTTTCTTCTTTTTCGTTTCTCTTCCGAGGAATTTCCTTCCGCGATCGGACGTAGACCACGTATGTACGAGGCTGAAGGGTAGGAGTGTACGTACGAAGGGGTGGATATAGGCGACGATATCGGACGATGTCGGTGATTGATGGAAATTGGAAGTTTGATTGGCAGGTTTTCGGCGTGCTTGTTGTGGATTTCGAGCTGGCAGCCCGGCCGCTGGAGACAGGAAATGACGAGGCGGACAGCGCCGGCGACGGTCCAGCGCGGGGGGAAGATAAGGCTCGAGTTTTCAGTTTTATTTATTTTTTTTTTTTTCTCGTTTTCCTCTTCCCTTTGGATCGGAGCTTTGTTACCGCGCGGCGCGCAAAAACTGACTTCATTACTTCGTTATCAAGGGAGAGCTCCGAAAATCCGCAGCGAAAGCTCACATCAAAGGCGAGCCTAATGACGCGGACGGGAATATACGAAATTAATTGCGCCCCCGTAACGAGTGAATCCCCATCAAAGAGGCATTAGACCGGCGAATCCCCTCCGGGTACGTGCTCCGCGGCACTGGCCTTTTCGCCGTGAATCTTCGCGATGTTGTCGCGACGAACACACCGTCGAGCGAACAATATTTTAGGATTAAAGTAATCCGATCGGCAGGTTGCCGGCGATAGCACGGGAGTGACAGCCCGAAAGCCGCAACGTCCCGTGGGAGAACCATCGCGCGCAACGAAGGAAGAGGAGAGTAGAAATTTCCCGTCATAGCCGAGTCAAGCCGATTAACCAAAATCTTGTTACGACCACACGACAGGAAGCCCGTGGGGTGTCCTTCGGCTGCGAGCCAACGAAAATGCAACATCTTCGTGGAACGATCTTCCCTCGGCTTTCTCCGTCCTCTCTCTCTCTCTCTTTCTCTTTCTCTTTCTCTCTCTAAAGCTGGCATTTTCACGTGTGGTAAGCGAATCCGTGTAATTTTTAACCGTGCTCGGGTGTTTCTGTTACACCCTCGGCGAGAAATTAAACTCGCAACTTTCGAAAATCAAAAGTTTTATCACCGTATGGGTATTTCGTGCTCCGATTTCATGATCAGTCGAACCAGGAATTACAATTCCAGATAGTTGCGTTCGAAGATCCCAACGAGGCTAAACGACGAGGAAACGTGGTTTTCCCAGCGAGACAGTGAACGAGGATCTTTCTTTCCAATTATACCAAAGTCATCGTCGCCGTAGTTATTACACCTCGCCACTTTCGGCTGCGAATCAACGACCAGACGCGAGAGGATCGAGCCGAGTCGCCCCTCTCGGTCTCCTATCGAAAACCAACGGAACGACGATCCCTCTGTCGTTTCATCCTTCTTTCCCCCTAATCGCCCTCCATCCCTCTGTTTCTCGATTCCCTTCCGCGAAGGAGGAGCTCGGCCTGCTCGTCTCGGGTTCATTCCCAAAGCCGTTTGCACATTAGCGGGCGAATAAACGACACCGAAATATAGCGCGGATGCGCGATCGCCATAATAGGAGCGCCGAGTAGTCTATTAAGCGTCCTCAAAACCAGTTAGTGAGTCGGCAATCCAGTTTAGGTACAAAATGGCTGTCGTTTAGCGAGGATTAATGGTCTCGGGAGTGCCCCGGGGCAGCATAATGGGGCAGATGCGTCCTGGATGAGGGGGAAACCCACTCTTCTCTCCATCGTTCCTCGCTTCGTCTCTCTCTCTCTCTCTCTCTCTCTCTCTCTCTTCATCTCTCTTTGTCGCTTCGGTGTCGCGACACAACCACCCCGTTCTGACCTAGCCTCCCTTGCTCCATCCCTCTGTTAACCTCATTATATACACCTATCTGGCTACGGGGTCCATTATGCCCTTTTTGCGCTTTCCTTGCGTGTACACCGGAATAAATACACGCGTTTCCCTTTGAGTCTCTGTGTGTGTGTGTGTGTGTGCGTGTGTGTGAGTGTGCACAGTGGTGGTAGAACAGGCAGCGTCGAGAGCGTGGTAGCATCGAGGGGAGTCGGATCTCATATTTGGGCCTCGAAGCGCCGTTTAGTTTGGCGTTTCATGGTCGAACGATCCCCCCCATAGCTCGCGTCCCCCTAGCTATCGAGAGGCTCGTTTTCTCGTTTCGACGTTCTGTAAAGAGTCGTTTTGAAATCGACTTTGCGCCGCGGATGCTCCGACGTTCTTCTTCCTCTTCTTCCTCTTTCTTTCGCGAACGGATCACGCTGCTTTCGTCGACGCGCGCCGCGTTGACAGAGATTTAGAGATTCGGAAAGGCACCGATTCGACTGGTTCGATGACACCAGTTTCGAAGCTTCCTTAAGGATTTATCTCTTTAGAAAGAACTCTTTTGAAAATTCGTTTATTTAATCATTTAACAGAATTAACCGTGATATAGACGGTAATGTGATAATAGTTTTGATACTCTTTGCTGAAAATTCTGGTGCTTGAAACAGACCTTTTCCAAGATATTATTACAACTTTCGTTTCTAGTATCTACGCATCTATATTTTGATAATTTCATTTTCTGTGCTTATTGTCTCAAGAACATCTCTCTTGAAATTCGATCGTGCTTCAAATTTTTAAGCGGGAGTGTATACAAGAAAAAATTGAATTTAAGATACGTCGAATGATTAAAAATTAAAAATAGGATGCAATTTAGATTTTAACAAAAATCGAAAATCTTTAAAAAGATCGAATTATATCTTGATATCTATTCGTTAACGAATAGTAGACAATCTGGAAATAGTAGTAAGTATTTCGAGAGATTATTATTATTGTTTGCAATTGTAAAAATGTTACAAATGGCTATTCTTTAAAATTTTGTACATCAAAAGATTGAACCCAAGATACATCAAATAATTAGAAATTAAAAATAGAACCCAATTTTAAAATTTAGACTCTTTCGAATTATATCTTGATATCTGCTACAATATAATGGACCAATTCTAGAAACAGGAACATTTTGCTTCGCTTCGATAGATTTCAAAAGATCGTTTGTTGTTTGCAGTTGCAAAAATGTTGCAAGACAGTTGCAGATTATTTTTCAGCGAAATTTTGCAAAATTGTTTTGCTGCTGGTGGCAGTGCGTCCCGCAGCGTCGGTCCTTTAATCCGGCCGTCTCTCGGGACACAGCTCGAAATTCGCACCACGCCTACAGTTTAACGAAATAATGCAAGCAGTTTAAAAGGTATAATAGAGAATTTTAAATACCTGACCCTTTGTCGAGCTGGGCACCAGCAACAACTGGTCGGCACCGAATTTCCCTGTAACCAACCTACTCCGCCTCGTTCTCTTCTTTGGCGTTTTTCTAATTCGTGTGTACGCACGCTGGGATTGACATTTTTCCGCGAAACGAACGTCTGTTTCTTTCTCTGTCAGCCAGCCTGTCGCTGAAACATAAATGTTTAAATTCAAACAGGTATATCCTGGAGAGTACAACATTCCAATTTAAAACTTTCGAAGCAACTCGTAATTTGTATTTTTGTGGAGACAATTGTGTAACAAGTTTTGCCCACTGGACATTGCATTAAAATGTGCACCACACAAGCAATACAAGTTGTATTTCAATTAAGTCCAAATTATATTAAATTTCGTATCATTATATAACTATAACGTTTCATTGAAGAACAAGGATATTTCGTGTACAATTCGTTTTGAGTAACACAATCAACTGATACAATGAATCCCTTTTTCCTCTGTAAATAAAAAAATTCCAGTAAACTCTCTTTTGCAGGTAAGGACTAGATATCTAGCGATTATGATGCGAGGTATTTGCGCAGAAGCGACATGGTTGCGGCGAGATGTCCACCTGTAGCGACAGGATTATAATGGATCGATCACGAAAACAGAGACTCAAAAGATTCTCCTCCGAATGTTTTCAGATTAGACAACAATGCGTGTAACAATGCGAGGATTTACGACCGATGGAGTTATCCGACGCGGCCAACACAAAATAAAAAAAAAAAAAAAAAAAACCCCCCCNGTTGTATATAATGTATCTTATATCTTTGTGCAAATATGAAGGCCAGAAATAACCGTGGCATACTTCCGTTTAATTTTAACAATATTTCCGAATAAATTTCTTTCCACGCTTCTTCTAATTTCTGCCATAAGCTTTTCTTTTGATTTTGGACACATTTCTGAAGGCTTCTGTCCATTTCATCCCAAAATACATCGATTCGATTTCGATTTTTTTTATATACATATCTTTGATATACTTTTAAATATTTATTCAGACCATATACACGTTAAATATCAGTTTTATTTTCAAGTATTATTATAAAATAGAGTAAATAGAGTACATATAACAAGAGTGTATAATAAAATTAATCCGGAAATGGACTGGATTGTACGTAACATAACAAAATTATCTGCTCGTCCCGAAAAGTAAACAAAAATCCACCGTGAAAAGTAACTTTCTGTCGCACGAAATGGCAACGCACGT